GCTGTTCATGTGTATACGCGATAGACTATTTCGGACTACGGATGCGGGGGACAAAAAAGGGAAATAGAGAAAACGACAGCTTTACCGATAGCGGGACAGTAGTTATTTGCAACACGTGCACACACACGTATAAACACACACGCATACACATGTAAAGCGATCCAAGCGATAAACACAAAAAAAAAAAATTGTATGAATATAACGTTTGCAGTTAGGTGGGACCAAAAACGACTTTATATCTCTATGTGCATATCCAAGCAACGTGTAATTTAATTAATGAATTAATTAATTATCCATTATTAATGACTAGGTAAAGTAAAAGATCCATTGATAGCAATCGAGAATGATGACGAATGATTAACGAGTAATTAGTCTATTAAGTTTGTTTATTGATACATTATTCTATGATATAATAATAATTATTATTATGATTATTATTATTAACTTTATTGCCTTTATTATTATTTTATTATTACATTGATTAAAATGACGATGATAATATTATTTAAACAATGTTTTAAGGCGATTATCTAGATATCGAGTAGAGAACAGTACGTATCTATAATTATTAATTATTTTTAATTATTATTATATTCTTATTATTATTATTATATTATTATGAGACATTTTGTTGTATTATTTTCAATAAAATCGATTGAAAAATATTCAGTTTACCAATTGGTTAATTCTCGCTTCTCCGCGTGTATCGTGCAACTGTGTGCGTGTTCTCAATTTCTTTCTTTTTAATAATGCATTTACGTTTAAATACGATACTAAAGTAATTTGTGTGTAAGCAAGATAACGAAAGAAATTGAAACATCTCATTGTTCGTACACGGGGTAGCGCGCCTTATCCCAAAGTCCGTTGCGATCTCAAAAGAGCATTGTTTGCGATCGCGAGAGTTTTCTAAAATTAGTAGAGGCTACTAAATGCATTAAAAACACTGTTAAATTTTTTTATTTTTGACTACACTTAGATCTCTTTTTATAATCAAGATATTTTCTCTAAAAGTTATATACATATATAATGTAAAGGATTGAGAAAATATATTTGAGATGTTCGTAATAGAAGTAACAGAAGAAATAAGGATTCGTCTGATGTAACTGTAAGATACAAATTGTACATTTTTATTAAGAACACTATTTTTTACGTAAAACACAATGATCAAGATTCTTTTCAATGTTTTCGATATCCGTGTGTGTGTGTGTCCGTTCTTGAAAAAATATTGTATTTATTTGTCAAAATAACTTGCAATATTCTACAAGGAATGGAATTCCAGGAGATCTCTAATTCTCTTAGGAAACTTGACGCACAGTGAACGATGTCATGATATTTGCGATCGTAACTGCCATCATTCAAGTACTTTCTTTTTCTTATTCTCATTTCAATTCAGCATTAATTAATTCCATTAACCGCGTCTGTATACGATTATCTCTCCGCTAACCCTCCGACCATCCTATTTCTTCAGATCCCTTGAGGGGGAGAAGACGTAACAAAGCTATCAAAAGTGAAAGAAAAACGGGGAATGCGAGGTAAAACGGGGGTAGAATGATCTAAACACAAAGAGAAAGCCAGAGAGCGTATTATTATGGGACAAAAAAAGGAAATAGGCGAACCAAATGAGATGGAAGAGAAGAAGAAGCCACGGAACAATAGACAAATGAGAAAAATAGTTGTAAAAGCCACACACACACACACACACACATACATGTAAGAACGCGTACACACAACATAGACACAAAAAAGGAAAACACAAATGTACTAAGTAAGTTCATACTGCGTATTGCCTTTCTGACTTCGGTGTGAAAATATATAAATAAAAAAAAGTCAGTCGCGCCGGGGCACGCGTATGTTCGCGCATACATAATATATATTATAGTTATTAGCGTTCGACGAAAGAGACGAGGACTAGCTGCTTCCGCTTCTTCCTGCCAGCAGCTCTTACACATTCTACCTTCCTCTTTCCCCTTACGTTCGTTTCTGCAATTCGATCCTTTCACGAGAACTCTTCGACGGGTAAAAGAAAGACACTTATCACAAGAGAGGAGATCGGCGACTTCCGGTCCGATCGAAGTCGCATCGCTTTCCTTCCTCTTATGTATTTACGAGTTCTCTTAAAATTTGTACTTGAAAAGAATCGGCCGTATATTTCCGGTTGATTAATCCCGCTTGTTTATATCCCGGAGCAGGCGGACGCGGAAGCAGCGGACGGCAGTAGTTCGTCGCGAAAACTTTTTTCACGGTTCCGTAAGAAGAAGTCCCACGCCGAAGTCCGCGCGTCCCCGCCGACTGTGTCTGTTTCATGTTTTTCAATATTTGTAATTTATCGATAAAATTATAAAAGATATCGATACATAACAATCTAAAGTGTGCGCTACTCTACATAATAATATTATATATAAAAAGTATAAAAGTATACATTATATATATATTATATATATATACATATATATTATATATGAAAAGTATAATATATATATATTATACATATATTGGGATTGGTGAGAATATACGGTTTTTTCGCTTTGGAGTGTTATTTTCTGAAAATATTGAACAAAATATGGAAAAAAAAATTAATAAAACCAATGAGTAAAAACAAAACAAATGTGTTTTTTTTTTTTATTCTCACCCGATGTTACAGCACGTCGTCGGCGACAGGCAATTCTCTGTTGGATTTTGCGATTACATTCATATCACGTGAGCGCACAAGTGTGAATATCTGATGTAAATAACTTTGTATGACGCGTAACATTTTGCTCTCAATTCATAATATATGAAATCGTTCGATATATTAGATTCTGAAAATAATTCTGAATTCGAAGGAGAGCACAATGAATTCGTTCACAAGGAGAACGCGAGGTTGGTTATTAATATAGATATATAATACCTTTAATAATTAATAGTATATACTTTAAAGTTTCAAATATTCCATTCTGATAGATTTAAATAATGTCTTATTAACTTCTTAAAATTAATATATGAAAAAATTTAAACTGTCAATTTTAATTTGTAATTCATCTGTAATTATTTTTACTTTGTGTACATATCAGACATTTAAATTATTAATGACAACATTACTATAATGTAATAATTTTGTAAAAATTTTCTTTTCTTCGTTGAAATACAGATGTTTAAAAAAATTATATATATTCCGACTCTTCCGAGCACTTTTAATAGTCTCGTTGAGAAGACAGTAAAGCTCGAAACGGAAGAACCCCAATGTGTCATCGAGTTGGTAAAATTTTAGATACAAAAGTGTTATTTAAATTTTACAAAATCTCCAATTATGAGATATTAAATATTTGATTTGTACAGATTGCTAGGTGATCTTTTAGGAGTTAAAGATTACAAGACTAATAAAGCTGCTTTCTGGTTTTTGGATATAGTAGCTCTTCAAGTTTTACGTTACAAAAATTGTCTAGATGGTCATTATAGAAGTATATTAATTATCTGGTTGGCTGGTGACATGAAATTAATTCGAGGTGATTTTATCAATTCACAGAGAGAATATTTAGAAAAAGATATAATGTTCTTATAAAGAAATAAATTAAAATAAAGATTTTAGTTTATTTGTATTATTACATATAATTAAATGAGAGAATTTCGGTACGCATAATATAAATATGTAGAAATATATCTTTTAGAAATATAGCATATTTTTGTAGATAAAAAACTACTTCGCGAAAGTTTTTTTAAAGAAATGAGAATATTATTTCTCTATGTTGCTGAAAAATTATCTGATGGCGATTGATTGCTACATTGGGAATTACTCATGGATGTATATTCTGAAATGGCACAAAATTCTACTTTTGATGGGTCCGCCAACAATAAAGCGGAATATTTAAGTACAAATAAATCATCTAAAAAGGAAGCAGTAACAGAAAATGAATATGTGTTCCAAGAAAACAAACTTTCTTTTGCTGGAAAGAATTTGAAAAATTATAATAAAGAAAACAGGTAAATTAAGGAAAGTATAATTCGTTATTATCGTGAGTTACCCACACGTTACATTATCTTATTATACGCACGGTTTTTCTAAACTACATCACATAAAGATTTTTATTTCAGTGTAACAAATAATCTGCAAGAGAAATCGTCGAAAAACTTCAAAACTGCATTAACTACAGAAAATTCGCGAACAGATACAATCACAGATGAAAATGCAATTATTGAATCGTCTAATTTGATGAATCCAAGAGAAGTTCTGGATGTAATTGTTGAAGCGACATACGACATGTACGTATAAGAAGATACGACATATTATTTTGAATACTTTTTTAACATTTCAAAAAAAAATAACATGCAATATAAGATTTTATCGTCGCCTTTTATTTTTTTAAACAGGTATGCTAATGAATTACGATATGCCCTTATATATGCGATCTTTGTAAAATCGATGCAAGTCTTTCTTATGCCTCATGCTTTTCAAATACCACATCAAATTAAACTCGCTGATCCTGGAGGATCATTTGACACACAGCTTCGTGAACGATTAGAAGTTGCTCGTGAATCAATAATTGACAGTGGTAAAAAAATTTTAACCTAAATAGTGTAATAAAATAATTATAGATTTAGTTATTCGTATATTTAGGTATTCAATATGATGTAAGACTACACTTATCTCTATTAATATTTATGTAATCATATTTATATTAATGTCTATTTTGTACTTTATTACAATTATAAGAAAATGTTTATTTTCATTTTATCATGGTCATGTAATGATTTGTTTCTAGGTATAATAATTGAAAATTAATAATTTTTTTTGCTTTCAGAAAAGAAAATTACTGATAACGCGAGAAAAGACCAAATAATGAAAGATTTTGTGATTCCTCCAACACCACCATCTTCTTTAAATGAGGAAGAAATATTGGCTAATAATTGTCCATTTATTCTACCATTGATAGAAGCAAATGAAGCAGCGCAGATCTTCGAAATGCATGCAGGGAGTATGTAATACGATAAATATGAATATAAGATTGAAAGAATATATTATTTCATCTAACAATTTAAAGTACAGTGTTATTCTGTGATTATCGCTGTACCCCATTCATGACATTTCAATTTTTTTATTGTTCCAGAATCCAGCGAAAAATGAATGTCCAGTTTGACAAAATTATACGGATTTTCTAAATTTCGTTGAAGTTTTCCTAGTTGACCGTATTTGTTAGTGCCACAGCCCCAAAAGAAGCCGTCGTCTGTAGAAAAAACAAAAATTATTTTTCTTACGTAAAATATTAAGCGTCTACGAAAAGAAGATTTATTTTACCTGCTAAGCATACAGTAAACGAATTTCCACACTCGACTTTTTTAACATTAATTTCTATATTTTCTCCTGTGTCATTTTTAAAATCTACCAAAGTTGGAACGGCGTAAACCTTTTTGTCTTTATTTTCAATTCCTAGCTCTCCATTTGAATTCCATCCCCAAGTATAAAGATCACCCTATAAATTAAGTTTCATTTACGAATCATATTGATTAGATATAGTTTATTAATTTTTATATACTGACCTGATCAGTAACTACAGCGGTATGCCAACCACCTGCTGATATTTGTATCACTTTCAGACCTGCTAGGGCTTCAATAAGTTTCGGATTATCACAATCTTCTAACTCGTTATGCCCTAACTGGCCACGTCTATATCATATAAATTATAATAATTATACAACAGAAAAATTTCCGAATTATTTCGTGTAAGTGCAATATATTACATACATTCCCATCCCCATTGAGTATACATCGCCATTCTCTGCCAATAAAATAGTATGATCGAAACCACAGGCAAGATCAACAAACTTGACCCTCTTTGGCATCTCAACCAAAAGTGGAGCATTAAATACGCGTCCTTAGAAAATAGACAAATTTTTGTAAAATTATATTTAATAACGGTGTAAGCTAAGAATTTTTTTTATCGCAAACCTAAATTGGTTAAAATTACTGTACATCCTGCTTGTGATAGTTTAATGGCGTGTTCAATTTGTATGTTGTCATTGCTAGGAATAAAGGGTGTTACTTTTTGCCAAGTGTCATCATACATTTTATATTTCCAGATTTCATTGTGTGTGGACAAAACAACTACACTATCCCTACCAGGAATAGCCAGTTTACAACTGTAAAAAAAATCATATTTGAATAAGATAAAAAATAAAGTAAATTTTCAATACAGAAAAAAGTTATATTTTGTTTGTTACCTTCCTGATGACTTTTCTGGAATCTGCATTAAACGTGGTCTGTTTTTGTCATCTTCCTTACTAATTTTACCAGTGATATATAATCTTGTATTTTGCCACAAAAGAAAATAATTCCAACCAATCTCAATGTCTGTAATTTCAGGAAATGGAATCTGAGTCAAATGTGATATAGACGTGATAATCCCATCCTGATTGGAAAAAAGTGGACTAGCATTTAAGCCAGTATAATATACTGGCATGTCTCTGTAAATAATAAAAATTTTGTACAATAGAGTAATATAACGTCGTTATTTTATTATTATAAATATTTTATTATTAGTTTTTTTATTACTGTTGTATTACGAGAATTCTATTACTATTCTTTTAAATTTCAATAATTTATGAAATTATCTAAATTATATTTGATATATTTTAATAATAAGTAATCTCATTACAGAGGTATGGTTAAAAAAGCAAGATGTTTTTTTATTTAAAAAAAATAAAAATAAAATAATTTAAATATATGTGTAGGTAAAACAGAAATATATTTATTTATCTACTGTCGTTCACACAAGCAATACAAAAAGATATCAGTATGCACATGTGGTAACCAAACTGTAGTTTCTCACCTAACGGTATCAGATGCGCTGATCAGCTCATAACATCAACCAGAATATGCAGATGTCACCATTTTCCTTGGATACCAGAAAAACAACACATTTTCATATAACGTAATGTCGTAATGGGAATCGTCGAAATAACGCAGTAGATCGTTAACGCGTCTTCGTTCCAGTACCTGAAATATATATCATCAAGAAGATGGTAAAAAAATGTTATGTGAATTAAACGCAAATGCACAATGTTATGCACTCTTTTTTTTTCCCATCTCACCACCTGATTCTGATACACTCTTGAATGCATGAAGTAATCGAAACATAACCTGCGAAAATTTTATCGCTGTATATCAAGTTTATATTAAACGCTTTAAATTTATATTAATAAGTGCTACATACGAGATTAAGAATTGTAAAACATCTCATTAAATAAAATTGATTCTTATCATTTTTTATTATATACAAAAATTCACTTTCTGTGCACTGTACATATCTCTCTGTATATACACTTGAGATGACGTTGCGAATGCAAGCTGGGTTATAACCTCGTCGTCATAACTTGTATACATTTAACTAGGAGAGAAGGGAATTATCTTTCTGGAATTGCACATACTGATTGCGAACGAAATTCAAAATATTTCTAGCTATTTAACTTTTTATGTTGCAATCAATTGCAGATTATTTACATATATACGATGTATAATTCCAAGTTTTTGTAATTACAAATCATTAACTTCTATTAATAACTTTGCAATGTCAAAATAAAATAATAAAAATATAACCTGGAGTATATAAGTGGCAATATCATTTGATAAAAAAACAAAGTTATTATTTAGTTTTTGAAATTAATATTTCGAAGTAGAACTTCTATATTTTTATTAAAATGTTAGATTTTATTAATAATAATATATTACAATTATTATATCATATAATAAATGTAATTGTAATAGACAATCATAATGTAAAAAATATTTTTCTTTTTTAATAATTATAATAAAGAAATATTTCTTTTTTTATCTATTACTTTACTAATCTAACTATTGATATATTGAAAAATAAAGTATCTGTTAGTATTTGTTAATATTTAAATTGCAAAACTATTACCATCTTTTCACAATACTGCAAATTCATTGCAAATTATTAATATTTAAAATATTAGGGTCTGCTTGCTATTTTACGGAAATTACGATCGAATCCTGATAAAGAGCTGCGATTATTACTACTGGGTCTGGACAATGCCGGAAAAACAACTATTTTGAAATCTTTGGCTAGCGAAGATATTACACAGGTAAACTTTCTTCTTAATTTTCGAATTTATAATTTATACATACTGTAGTAAAAATTGATATTAAATTATTAAATATGTTTAGTATAACAAATGTATTATAATTAAAACTAATAAAGAGAAACAGGAGCTACGCAAGCCAATGAATTCATTAAAATCTTTAATTTATTCTAATATATTTATAATTATATTTATATGAATTATAATTATATGAACAAATTGATTTTTTTGAAGGTAACCCCAACACAAGGTTTTAATATAAAAAGTGTCCAGAGCGAAGGTTTTAAATTAAATGTTTGGGATATTGGTGGAGCTCGAAAAATTCGACCATATTGGCGAAATTATTTCGAGAATACGGATGTACTTGTAAGTCTTTATTACTTTATAACTTCTTAAATTTTTAAGTTTTAATATTAAAAGATTATTATATATTTAATACTATATTTAATAACACTCTTTTTATATAACAGTTTACGATGGCAGTGAAATATATAACAATTTAATTTATTATATAAAATTTAATACAAAAAAGATAAGATATATAAAAGAAATAAAATTGACAGTTGTATATAATATAAGGAACTAATAAGAGTCAAAATAATTTGTTTTTTTTTAAATGAAGTTTTATTGATTTAATAATCGGAATAATTGTAGAAAAACTCCCTTATTCAAATATGTTAGGGGACGAGGTAGTAGTTTCAATAGTCGAATAGTTCGCATAAAAGCCTATTATTTAGTTTTTCCTTCTACCAATACTTTTATTAGTTTTTCCAATAATAATATAGGAGCTGACGTTCAGAAAACTGAAATGAAGTTTGCATAATAAGAGCTCAACTATTAATCAATTCATACCTAATATATTTAAAAAAAAAACTAAACTTGCACTTATTCGTATAATATAAATAGAGTGCAAATAAATGAAGTTTTTTAAATGCATATATTATTTTAAATAATATGTATATTTATTAAAATAATAATTATGTGTTCTCACATTCTGTAAAATTCTATTTCATCCTGACAATTATAGCGATATAATTTAAATAAATAAGTATTGCAATTTTTTCTGCAAGTGTTGATTTTATTTAATAAATATTACAAATTAATTGTGATTATTTAAGAAGCGTCTATTACGTTCTGTTTTTATTTAAAGATAATCTCATCTTAAAATTTTCTGCAAATTTTTAAATTTTCCTTTCTAAATAAAAATTAAGTTAAAATTTTGTAATGTTTTTATTGATCACAGATTTACGTCGTTGATAGTGCGGATATCAAAAGGTTGGAGGAAACGGGACAGGAATTATCAGAGCTTCTATTGGAAGAAAAGTTACGCGGCGTGCCATTGTTAGTATACGCGAATAAACAAGACCTGGGACATGCCGTGACAGCAGCCGAAATAGCTGAGGGACTCGGTTTACACAATATCAAGGATCGCGATTGGCAAATACAATCGTGCATCGCTATTGAGGGCAAAGGCGTAAAAGTATGTAACAAATATTTTTTTGCTTTTAAATTTTAAAATGTGATACAATGATTACGTAGAGTTATCATTTTACCATTAATTGCTTTTTATACTTCAATATATCGGACAGTTTATATATATACTATATAAAAATAAAAATCTTAGACATAAAAATTTAAATTCACATCAATGTACAATTTTATGGAATTATATCTTGTACATATATATATGTGTCTATTTATAGTATTATTATATTTGTATTTTAGAATAAAGTTTAGAATTAAGTTTATCTTTATTTTTAGGAAGGTTTAGAGTGGGCATGCAAGAACATTAAAAGGAAGTAATAAACACACCGTGGAAGTCGAGAGATATAATTGACGTTTATGCCACATTAGGGCGCACGAAAAGAATATAAGGCTTACACCATCTCCATTGTACATTTTACACATGATCTTTATTTGTCTTTTAACTACTATTTACAAAAAAATATTTAGAATATTGTTATGTGTGGATTCGGTATGAACGTATGTATATCGAATGGGTTTCCACAAGCCCGTTGTCATATCGAATATATCCAATTATCGGACTTCCGTCCATTTCGGACTCGAGAAGTTCTATTTTTCGCAGAAAAGAGAGTAATAGCGAGTCCATAAGATATATACGGCAAACTCTAATGTGCCTTCTTGCTGTTTTAACTATAGATTGGAATTTTTATAGATTTATCTAGTGAGAAATAAAAAAATAAAGATGTAACAAGAGGAAAAACACAATATGTATAATTCATATAGATACAATTATCAATACATATTTATACTTATATGTATATAGAAATTTGAGCACCATGTGTTATTTCACTCGCGAAGAAAAATCACGAAGATGGTTAAAGTATTTGCAGCATGCACAAAATGACTGCATTTTCTTTTATCTAAATCAACAAATATATACTATATTATATGGTATGTAAGCAATTAAAACAATTGTAATTCGAATAATGTCGATTCAGCAGTTCTTTGTTAAACGGCATTAATGAAATTTTAAGGTGTAAAACTTAAGTTTTAAGCTTCAATCTATAAGAAATTGACTAATCATAACCAATTATTCTCTTTATATTCGACTGTGATTGGCCAATTTCTTACGGCTTAGAGTTTAAAGTTTTTGTAAACACCACTTTAGAAGTGATGAAAATCAGTATCATTCTGATGTATTTATGGTACAATATATTATTTTCGCGCGCACGATCTTATTTTTGCACAGCTATTGAATTCGCTTTAAAGATTTGTACAGGATGATCTGCTTTCAATAATTTCTTCTAAAATATTTTCTCTTAATGACGTTAAAATGTGAAAATAAATTTTGTCAATAAGTTTAATTTTTTATCTTGTAATATTTTCATGAATAAAATTATTATATTAGTGACACAGTTACATCTGATACATTTAAAATATGAATCAAAGAAATGGCTTATTTTTGTATTTTTTTTTATTGATGATTTTAATATTATTAATAATTTATTCTTTAAAATAAAAATATCGCATGATATCACTCATATGAGATTTTTGCAGTTTGCAATAATTGAAGCATTAATATGGAAAATGTGATCCGTACTCACGATGATAATACAATTATATCATTTTTTTCCTGAAAAAAAAAGAGAAAATAGACCAATATAATTAAAACTGTCATTAAAAAGTATTATTTTCAGTTTTTAATGTCATTAAGAGAAGTGTTATACTCTTGGCGTAATTTTTTTTAAACGTGATTCTTATTTACAATTGTAATTATCCATTAAATCAGCCGAAAACATTGGAAGTATTTTGCATACATCATATGTATACTTGCGAACCTTGGTTCTCGAAGACGTATTTATAAAGAATATAAAAATATTTGAATTAAACCAACGTAAACATTTATGCTTTAGAGATATATTCATCAGATAACGTTTTCTATAGATATCTTCACGGTATCTTCTAAGTATTTTTTGTTTCTGGTTACATATCTTATTTTAACATGAAATATTAAAAATTCATGCTTTACAGCTTTTTGTTTGTACATACAAAAAGAGACACTCGTTGATAGTTTATAGTCGCTTCTACCAAGTCTCCGCCACGATCATATATAATTTCGTTTAGCGTATTTTATTTTGTGCAATAGATACGATAAAATAAATAAGAATACATGACTTCGAGGCACGTATTTCTAATTTTAGAGGCAACTTAGCAATGTCTTTCACAGATTACTAACGAGCTAAACTCATAGTTCGCTATGGATGTTTTCTGTAGTCACTCTGATCTCCTCTTCATAGAATGCAGTACAATCTGCTGGATACTTGTTCTGAAAGAAAAGAAAAATAAAGGAATAGTTTTTCTTTACTTTAGTTTAAAATGCACTTTCTTACTAATAATAGATTATAAGTGAAGGTTTTAGTTAACTCACGATGCATCCCTCTTGCTCCATGATGGCTGCGTAGAGGGGCCAAAAATTGATTGCTAATTTGTTACTGACTGCCCAGGCCGCTGGAAAACTTGCCACCCTCAGTAATGCACTACGTACGCGTGTAAATGCTTCGTTACCTCCGTCCTCTCGTTGCTGGCTTTTTTCATTTATGGTACATAAGATTTGACTAGCACATTGCGGCACTTTCGTCGCCCATTTATACGCTCGGTACGACTAGAAGTAAATAAACAATATATCAATATTTATTAAAATATCACAAAAACAATAAAAAATTTAATTAAGCTTTATCAAATTTAAGCGTAATACGAATTATAGGAAAATACGAGAAAATTATTATTATTTTAGATTCTTTTTTTATAGACTATAGAACTCTGTTTATCTGAAAATGTCGAGAAATAAAACAATTCCGATATCCGAATAAAATTCGGATAATAGAAGTTCATTAATTCTCATCTCCACCAATACTTACTAGTTTCAATAATAGAAGCTGATGTTCAGAAAATTGAAGTTGAATAATTGAGATCCTATTATCCTACCTTTTAACCCAGTTATAAATTCGAATATTTGTAACTGAGATAAGTTTGTTCGTATAAATGGATTGCAATTAAACGAAATTCTATATTATACTATACTAATTTTTTTAAATTCTATTCGTGGTACTACTAAAAATTTTAAACGTTTTTTAATTGAGTTTTAAAAAACATCAAATTTCAATTAAATCGATTTTTAATCTTTAACAATAAAATTATGGAAAATGAAAAAATAAGTTTACCTATTTATGCAATAATTTAATGTACGAAAGATATTACGTATATTATATAACTGTAAGAAAAGCATTTTACCTTGAGAACAGGACCGATGAAATCATTGTTAATAATGTCGCTTAGTCTGTTGCTTAGCTCTCGTGCATTTATTCGGGACATAATGAATCCTTTTTGAGAAGCCAAGCTTATTAATTCCTGGAAATACGCTACCGCCGGTCTTACATACTGTGAGCTATCGAACTTTAAGTTCAGGTATCTCTTCCCCAATCCGTTTATCAATCTAAGCGAAAAATTTTACATTGACATATATATTCACAAAAAATAGAGAAACTTAATTAATTAAACATTATTATATTAACCTGGAGAGACTCTCCGCTGGTTTTGAAGCATCAAACATCATTGTTTTTGGTAATCCCTGAGATTTTAAAAAGCTGTTACCGACGAATTGCACGGTCGTGAGGTAGCGTTGCTGATTTATTGGTTCAGAAATGTGAGAGATCCATTCGGCCACAAAATTCGTGAGCGACTTGACCCCTCTTCGGCGTGTAGTAGGATGTTCAAAACTGTCTAAGACCTTCTCCCATAGAATGTTACCTTGCTCGTCCGTCATTTGAGCAAATACCCTCGACAGACCACTATTCTTCCATAACGTTTGCCCGAGTTCCGAATTACTAAAATACAAAAAAATTCTTAATTATAGTAAAAAGCGAGAGAGGGATAGCGATAAAGTTTATTCACATATATTAAATTAAACTAAAATGTTAAACTTTTGTTTATGTTTTTTAAAACCTTTTATAAAGTATTTTCCCATTTTTGTCGCTTTTAACTTGTTTCGATATCGTAGAATTAACATAGAGTATTCATCGTGTGTTTATTGTATAATAGTTGGTGTTCTACCTGAAGTGATCCCACATGACGTGAACGTTTTCCAATATCGGTGGCAAAAACCAGGAATGTCCTGAATGATCTTTATTCCCAGTATCGTTGTCTTTCATTCCATGACCCAAGGAATCTAGAAGCATTGGCAAGAGACCCAATGTTACGTCGTTGTTTGCATTTTGTTGCAAGAACATGCTGCCCATGCTGATTATGTTTCCCCAGTCTATGCCGGATTCCCCTTTGTGTTTCGTATCTCTTGCCGATCTCTTATTCGAGCCAGCACTCAAAAGGTTCAGAAATGAACCCAAAGTTGATAAGTCGAGGCCTTGATTATTTTGTCCACCTGACATCAAACTACTGATCCCAGAAATGATCTGGCTGATACCGTCCGCCGTGTCGGATCTTTTTTCGAACATCATGTCGCGAACCTGTTTTAATTTCTCATACTTTATATTTAGATTTTTAAGACATTATGATTATTTTGTATAGACATTAAAACGCTTTAAAAATAAAATTTTAAGCACAATCAGTGATTTTTATTTTAAATATTTATGACGAATTTTTGTATTAAAAAATATAATGAAGATAGCAAAGGGAAATTGTGAATGTCAAAGAAATCAAAGAAATTCAAATTGAATGTGTTTAAATATATCGAGAGAAAATGTTGAAGTATTACGAAAAAAATGATACTGAACATAAAAATGTTTTCTTCAATATTTACTAGTATTGAAACAATTTGATTGTGATGATAAAAAATATACATTTCTGTGAAATACATATATATTATTGATTGTAAAAAAATATAATAAATGGCTTATTTACTAGGAATAAAATTTATTTTGTCATATTCAAATAAAATTTATTTCAGAGAGTAAGATAAGTATATTTCTTACAAAAAAATATTTTTAAGTATCTTTTTCTCAGTGTAATTTTTTGAAGACATAAATTTTCGTCATACTTGCTTGCCGGCATCTGAATGTGCAAACGTTTGGGCCATGTCCTCGAGCGATTGCTGAGAAAAGAGGTTTTTAGCTTCCTCGATGAAAATACTAGACGCATCGTCCTCATTATTCTTTTCAGAGCTCGCCAGCCCGATTAGTACCAATAAGAGCGATGTCCTCGACAACCACATCCTCCTGTTTCTGTAACACAACATTTGGTTAGCGCGACTATTCGACGATATTCCTGCTGAGTAATCATCGGGGATTCGATGTGCATTTCTCTGTAATTTAATGACACGCAATTACAGCGGAGCTTCATTTGCTTCTTCATCAAAAACAGAGATCCTTGAGATGGTCGTTGACCTTAATGGCGAATCCTGATTCTGGTTATGTTATTTTTAGGAGAAGAAGCCTTTCGCGAGGTCGTTGTCACGAAGATATTTTACGCGGGCGTCATACCGGAAACGTTTCGGGTCGTAGCTACTCGAATACCGTTGTTTCGTTATAGTTGTCTTACTAATGTCAGTGTATTATACTTAAGCATATTTTTTTCGCAAGACATATGAAAGTGCTGATGACGAACGCGTTGAGTCAGCACGCTTAAAAAAAGAACGTGAATAAGATATTGGAAAATGCAGGTATGTTTTTACCTTTAAAATGTACAATAAATACATATATACAGAGCAATTATATATTTATGAGTTTGTCCTGTATAATTATTAATTGGTGTCAATATATATGTGTTTTTAAATATTTATTTAATATCCACGTACAATTTTTGTGCTTTTGATATAATTTCTTACGCATTTTTTTTTCATAATTTATCATATTTATTTTGCACCATTACTTTTAAAATGACACAATAAAAAAACGCGATTTTTATTTATTATCATAAATGATTTAGAGATAAACATTGTCTTATCTATTGTTAACGATGAACTAATTTCAAAAATTTACAAAAATTCTTGTAAAAATGACACAACTAAAAAAAGTTTAAAACTATTGTTATAATTCGAAGAAGATAATTTTTGCAGAGTTGTGAAACAAAAATGTGTGGACAAAAAATTATATATAATCATGTGAAGATTATCTTTTTCGTTTATATATTTCGTTAATAATTTCTGTCAAAAAATAGTTTTTCTCTTTTTCTGAGAAATTAATTTTGTTAATTGCGTCACTTTTGAAGTAAGGGAGCGATGTAACTAAAAAAATATAAATATGGAAAAAATGAATTAATTAAATTAACTAAACAGGCAGAAAAGTCCAAGCTTTTGTTTAATTTATAATTTGTATTAACATAATTCTAATTGGTTTCTAGTAAGAAACACACGTTGTCATTTATCATTATTGAATATCCTCAAGGATCAGAATTGTAGCAACTGTCACGAATGAAGACAATGACGATAAATGATTGGCGCAACGCTAGTGTATACTAACGCGCAATTTGAGTACCGTAAACCGCATGAAATTGACATTCTCCAGCTGGAATAACGATTCGGCCTAACGGTACAGACTGTTAGTCATCGTTACCCCAACGCGTCGAAGTCGTGAATGGCAGGTCGAAAGAATAAGGATCCGATTCGACTGTCATATTTTCTGACAAATACGTCTCAATATTGTGTAACACAAATATTGATAAATGTTATATGACCTAAAAAGTAGAAGTAAGAAGTTTATCATAGATTATATGAATTGTCTACTTCTACCATATATTACTATTATTAAACATAAGCATTTTTCAAAATCAATGAAAATAATCTGTGAAATATATCATATATATAGAACTTTATAATCTTCTACATAGCGTATTATTTTAATTTCCTTTGTAATTTAAGTTTTATAAGTAATTTTTAATACTTATAAGCTATGTCGAAGTATAGCATCAGTTACTATTTAGTTTAGCTGTTCTACAAATTATGTAGGAAAGTGTGTTAGAATATATAATATCATTAGATATAACAGGAGTTTATACTGTAAAAAAAAACGCAATGTGTTTCTCTTTGCAAAAACAGGTAAAACAAGTGAATGTAAAACATATGTATCACTTTTATTTACTTAATTCTATTGTTTGTCATATTTTGTAATTATCTTTGAGAGCTGAGTATAAAAGTAAGAAACACGGAAGCACATTCTCAGATTGTCGAGAGGGAAAGCGCGTGCGAGATTTTGCAATGTCGTCGCACGCGAAGGTATGTGATCAAGAAGAAAAAGCAATAGTAGCTTTATTAATGAAATTAAAATCAGTATGGTCAATGTTTTGAAGTATTTGATTGATTAATCAGTAGAAGGAATTTTACTAATTGATCAAAGAAAGCTTCAAAGCGATCAAAGCATGTGTACTATGTGTAACATCACTTTGACCGTACCTACACCTGCATATTTTTTTTTATCATACAATAAGTAGAGTATCAATAAGAGTATGTCAGCAATTTAACAGGCTAACATTGTTGTTTCTGAAGCAACCTGCTTTTAAAATTACAACGGCACATTTATGAAGCACTTTGCCGAAAGATGTTCTGTATAAATTATCGCAGTATTGATAATATAACGGTTTAATTTTTTTTATAATGAATAATAATTTGAAATATGCAATAGATAACTTGATCATTATTAAGATATTATAGTCATTTTTTAATTAATGTGACATTAAAAAATAGAATGATTAGATAGTAATTATATAGAAGGTAATAAAGGAAGTTATTAGTACTGATACTGATCTATTGACTATGTTAATTTTATTGTAAATATTTTACCATTGTCATTAAAATAATTAATCTTTTTACATTATAATGAATATTATTAGTCGTCTGCTTTACATTTTCTACATCCATACCTTTACTAAACATAATTATAAATAGATATTAATAATTTTATTTTGTAAAATTAATAGTATCTATTTATTATGTACAAGATGGATCATTTTAATTTATTCCACCTCATTCGATTTTCTCAAAATCTTTAAGTTTAAGATAAAAATGTTTCAGACAAAGGTTTTATGGCTTCGAGGAGAAAAAAATGGTGACCTTGGTTGACCTTTGGTCAAGAAGATGTCCTTAAGGTCAAGGTTACCTGAAAAATTTTTTTAATAGAATGCCCCATTTTTTTATTACATATTTTCTTATAGCTGACTTCATGACCTTCTCAAAACACTAAATAATATTTTTTATTAAGCATTTTCTACGTTATGGAGCATCAAAATTAAGCCTATTGCACATAGGCATAATATAAGATAATATAAGACTAATAAGCATCCAGCATAAAGTCACCATATTGATTTACATAAGATGCTCATTAGTCCAGCGGTCTTATGCTTATGCTCTGTTATGCATTTCATGTGCGATAGGCTTTACAATACCGTCGGCATTTGCATTACTCAAGACGTTAGACTGATATGGCTAAAGTCATTGGGGAATGTTGTTCACAATCATAACATTAACAACTTTCAGATTAATTGATTCAGCCGATTTTTTCGAAAGGAGATAGGAAACAACGTTACAGACAAAAGTTTCACGATTTTGATGGTAAAATGGGATACTCTTGTCAATTCAGTCATAGATGGCATCACTTCTGAGATTTCTTTATGAAACAATTTTTAGAAAATTGACTGGATAAATTAAAATGATCCATGTATATTAAAAATGTGGATACAAAACTATTAGTAACATAGATATTGGCATAAATATTTATGCGACTATCGTGCTGACTTAATAAAAAAAATAAATAATTTAAAATAATTTTTCGTAAAAAATGCAATTAGACTGCATCTTAATTCACATTTGCATGTTGCTAGACGAGTACGTTATCTAGTTTACAATTATATTTGTATATATAACTGGGTTAACTTTTCAGCAATAAGCGATAAAATTATATAATTGTTTCTAAAGTGCAAGACTTAGTATTTCGCTTATCATTGTACTGATAAAGAAAGACCTTGGATGACTAAGTCTGAAAGCATCATCGAAACCTAGTTGCATTATAATTATTGTAAATAACAGCGATATATACATAGGTAATTAAAAATTATTTTAGTTTCAAATGTGTTTTTTTAAGATACATTCTTCCCATATTGATATGAGTATTATCGGTTATTTGACTGAATGTTATAACTTTAAAACAGAATTACGTTATTTTTAAATATTTTCTTAAGTGTAATAATAATTTTATGGATAACCATAAAAGCTATTTTATTTTGACATGAAGTTAACGATATGGGAAACTATTTTTTAACTTAGTAAACGAGACTAGATTATAATTCTTTTTAAATTCAATTAGATGAAAAAAACTTTTTTTAAGTTAATTAGATTGGAAAACTGCATTTTCGATTCAGAATTTTGAATTGAGTAGTAAGTATTCACAATGCATTTAAAAACTAACTTTTTTTTTGGATTGAAGGCATAGAAATGTGCTTCATATGTAATTCCTATAAATGAATAAAAATGCATTTGAATTGGAATTCCATTTTAACGTCCGCGAATTCGTTACTTTTGAAAATCTGAATCTATTTCAAAATCTATAAATCTATCATTCTCAATATTCAAATCTAAAGACCGGCAATGTACAAACATAACTAATATGAATACGAAGCCTATAACAGTCTTGGATCTTAGTTGCTTATATATAATTTCGCGAGAATTTATAATATACTAAAATATGTAGTCTTTCTAAACTGCGCACCGAACAATATTGTCAGTCTTGAAACGCAACTCTAAACTACCGTAGTACTATCACGAATTAAATTGATTAACAATTTAATAATTAATTGATGCTCTTTTTGGCATCTTATATCAATGTTAAACTATATTAAAATCTGAAAATAAATCTGGAAATAATTCTTCTTATTGCGAAAACTATTATTCTCGTTTACTGGCAATGCATTTCAATTACATATTTTTAATTATACGATTAGTTTTAGATCTTTGAAGCCTAAATAAGACACAGAAATTAATAACAATATCATATAGACATCATCCTATTTGTCACGTAAAATCTATTTTTATGTATCAAAAAATAACATGATGTCCTATAATATTACATTATAACATTATTAAAACTCTACGTTCTATCTGTTAAGAAATCTCAATTATTATATATATATAAAATTAAATTTATAAATAAATATATAGATGTATATATAAATAATAAAATGTGCGCGTATAATAACTGTTTGAATGTAAATGCATGGAGAAAATAG